GATCTTTTCTAATTGATCTCTTTAGCTCTAAGTTGAAATGATGATCCCTCTTCCTGCCGTGACCTCTTGGTCCAGTTTTGCTCTCTACTGGTCTCTGTTTTTTTAAATCTATTCACCGTTCTCTTGATGGTTCTTGAATGAACTTTGAAGATGGAAGACAGAGTCTGAAGGTTGGTTCCATTACTGAAAGTCTGAATGATTTTCCTTCTCAGCATTGCCCAGTTGTGAAAACGATGGGACTCACAAAAAAACATTTTTAATTTGCTCTATTTTTAGCTGAATAAGTCAAAGGGGGTGGGTTCAATGATTCTTACAAAAAAAGCGTCAAGACTGCTAAACGTCTTATCTAAATCTCTCAAAAAGAACCTCATTTAGTTTAATAGTCTTTAGATATTAAACATTGTGTTGGATGGGATAATTATGTTGGTACACGATTTGGACAATTTTACTGTTACACCGTTATATATATATATATATATATATATATATATATATATATATATATATATATATATATATAAAAAAAAAAAACAGACCACTTTAAGTTTCCATTATAATAATTTATTTCACCAGAGCTATTTTAAAGGACGCAGGATCATCAGAAAAGATGAAACGAAAAATGAAATTAAAATTGATGGGTAGAGGAAGTTTTTGTAATTTAACAGAGAGTGTAATACGGAGTGGTTCGAGAGACATGGTAGAGTTTAGAGAGAGTTTAATTTAATATTTCTTTCAATCATACTTAGTATTGGGGGAGGAGGATTGACCAGACCATGACCTATTTAAACGGTTAACTTAACGGAGGTGATATATTGAAATAGGAGGGGAGAAGAGAGAAAAGAAAAAGGAAAAAGAAAGAAGGGGGAAGTAAAGAGAGAGAGGTTGTAAATGGGTTTTACATATGAAGGAGAGGGGTGGTAAGTTTTAGCAATTTATGTAAAAAATAGATTTTAATGTTTGATAGTAATTTTGATATCTAAAAAATCCACGAAGAAATTAATTTGATGCTTGCTAGCAATTTAAATATTTAACTTTCTTACAAATAATTTAGTGATTTAATATTAGTTAAATACTGTATTTATTAACACAGTCATAGAGAACACATTAAAAAAAAGAAAAAGTTTTTTCATAACTTATATATATATATATATATATATATATATATATAAGAAGAGTTAGAATATAACGAAAGAACTATGTTCGAATATTTATGAAGACCGTTGTTAGCAGTAGCAAAAGAAGATTTGTTAGATATAACGCATCCGATACTAAATTCCTTTCTCTATTAATCATCTGAGAGAAGTCTCACTGTCTTCCATCAGCATGGTTAATCTTAACTGCCAGAAAAGTTACTCCTTGCGACTTTTAGGGCTAACGTTATCAGCTGACATGAGTGGAAAGACGATATTGCATCTATTGCTAGGTCAGCTGCTAAGAAATTCGGTTCATTTTGCCGGTACAGACAATTTTTCTCTTCGGAATCTAGCTTACATATCTATAAGTCTACAATTGATCTTTGCTTAGATTATTGTTAACATATACGATCTGGTACTCCTGATATTTACCTTGAGATACTTAATAAAATCCAAAGAAAATAAGCGATATTATTGATTCTGATCTGGCGGCACGGCTTCAGTCACTTTCCCCCCACCTTTCTCGTAAATACTTTCATGTTAATTGTTCGGATGGGCTCTTCCTATGGTCTCTAGATTTTATGAATTAAAGTACTAGACTGGCGTCGAGATCTCATCAATTGACTGGCTATATGAAGCCGTATTTCAATGCTAAAACTTACTAGCGCTCAATCTATTCAAAGTTTACTGTTGCCCGAACCATCTTTCTTACTAAACCTATAGTAGGCGGAAAAGTCTAACATAGACTCTTAGAGGGACGCCATATATATATAATAATATATATATATATATATATATATATATATATATATATTAATCATCTCAATGAAGCAACGTAACAATGCCACTAACACGCCAGGCATACTGAGTGTGAAAGAATATGAGGAATGGAAAACATTATAAAGGAGAAAGAACAATAAAATAAAAGAAATTGATAAGGCAGAAGAAAATGATTGTCATTGCGATATTCTAAGCATAGATGAATAGTAACCTTATAAATATCTAAGATATTCGTCTAGCCAACCTTCCTACTTAGCAGAGATAACACTTGATGCAATATAATCATTCCACTTCATGCCGGGGTAAAACGCTTGCTCAAGAATGTGCAACGAGTCTCTCCCCTGGAAAAGCTTCTCTCAGGCAATCAATAGATAGCAGTTTCGTTTCGATTGAGTTAAAATTAACAAGCGATTCCTTGCCCCAATTAAAACAGATTTTTTTTTTGGTTATGCTGCCTATCAGACTTACAATTAAGCCAGGAGAAAATAGTTGCGTCATCATATACAGTTGTGCAGTATTATATATAGGATGTTTACTTTGAGATAACTACACATGCGCAGAAAGGGAAATGACACGTTAGAATTTGAAACTGATTTTTTTTTTTTAATTTTAGTATTAGTTTGGATATATTCACGGTGACTGAAAAATAATTAACTATTTTATGTATGAGTAGATTGCCAGGAGTTCTGAATTAACAATAAATGACATTTTTGCTTTGTGGCTGAAATAATTTTTAATCGTTTCGCCCAATTGCTTTAATGTCATGTAAAGGCAGCGGGTTAAAGTGAGTGACTGAGAATGTGGATTATTGAGGAAAAGAAAAAAATGAACAGAATTCAAGTAAACCGAAGATGGCGATTGGCGAAGCATTTAAGTGGATAATTTTCTCTTCGGAATCTAGCTTACATATCTATAAATCTACAATTGATCTTTGCTTAGATTATTTAAGGAGAAAGTCTACTAGACAAATCTAAGACTTTGTAAGATACCTGAAGGTCGAATACAAGCAGTTATGTCATCTATACAACACGAGTTCCTGGTGAAATCAGTTAACCTGATTTCTGGGTGGCTCGAATTTTAAATAAAACATCATCATAAACGCTTTCCTCTCATATCCATTTTTTGTAAGTATTATAGTTTATAAATAAATTATTAGTATTTTGATATCGGGAGTTTTCGAACAACCTATAGCTTAGCTAGTTTAATTTAATTTCTCTTTCTTTTTAATTATGTTTTTTTTCATTTGTGGATGAACTCGCTTGACGTTGCCAAAAAGAAAACTGGTACTAGTTGGTTCTCCTTAAACCTATAAAAAAAAAGTACGCATTTATCTCACTTACAGCTTCCGGCTACAAGATGTAGTCGCACGGGGGGGAAAAACGTCCCTACTGGGTAACGTTCAACTGCATGTTTTTACTTTCGTTCTTGACTTTCGGACCCTTTCAGAGACTTGTCTATCACGTCAGCCTACACAAATTTCACACGAGCAAAAACGCACACTCTCTAGTTTTCTAAGTAATTAGTTTTTAAATGTTTTCTCCTTTTATGGTAATTACAATTTTTGTCAATACATGCAGAGTGCAATGAATAAATTGCCGTCTAAATTACGCCAAAATGAAAATAACAGTCACATCTCATTTTAACAGATATATTTACCAAAATTACACAAAAATATCTTGAAATACAAATGAGTAAATTTATTCAATTAAATCGCCATTGTTTTCAATCGCGACATCCAGACAACTTCAGCATCTCTTGCATCTCTTTCTTGGGGGTCTCTCTTGATGAATGCTGGCATCATCCTTGCTTGAGTTCATCCTTGATGTTACAAGGAGTTTTATTGGTTGTTCGCTTAATTCGCTTCCATGAATTAAGAAATTTGAATTAGAGAGAAGGTGAGGAGCTTTCCTTGTTAAAAATGTTCCTCCCCTAAAATCATTCACTGAGAATGTTTGCCTCTTCGCTAATGCATGCAGTCTGAATAGATAATAACAAGCGAAAGTATCGGACGTCTTACATCTCTCTCTCTCTCTCTCTCTCTCTCTCTCTCTCTCTCTCTCTAATTGAGAGGTAGTCAGTGAAATCTACATGATAAGGACAATAAAAGCATATATTGCCAATTTGATTCTCAGCAAACAAGCGGAAACAAGCCAGCGTTGGTTTATTACTGTCAAAAGAGCAGTGGAAACAAACGTTTCTAATTAACTCATAGATGGGATGAGAATAGGTGGATTTTTCCTTTCCCAAGGATATTTACGTGTAAGCGAATATAAAAGAACCCGACGGGAATTGGAACTCGGTTCTTTGATTAACAATTTCGTGCCATTATCTATTACGTCACCCGCACATCCAAGCTTACAGAACCTAAAAAGTAAAAAAAAATATTTATAGATTGTTAGACTTATTTATTTAATGGTACAAGTTTTACTAATTAGCCCATAGCTGGAAGGAGAAGATGTGTCTTCTTACCTTTCCCACGAGAATTTGAGCGTAAGTGAATGTAAACTCCTTGAAGAGGAGGATCCAGACAAAGCGCGTCCAACCCCCAAAGACACCTACGGTGGTGCAAGTGGATGATGATCTCATGAGATCGAAACGGTTTAAGCAGCGGATGAAGAGGGCTAAGCATGACGGACATGCTATAGAAGGCGCCACTCAAAATGATATCAGGTTCAACGGCAATCTGTTGCAGTTTCATAATTGTATGTCTCATTCCGTGTGTGCCGCAGAGGTGTGTGTTTCACTTCCTGGGAAGTTGGGGTCCACCTTAAACAACTTCAAACCATAAGCTCTTTAATCTACCATAATTTTTGCTCTCACCTCTAAACAACTCCATCTTGGGATCAGGTTTTGATGAAACACGAATCTTCTAGTCTTGATGACTAAATTCACTGCACGTTGGCAGTGAATTTAGTCATCAACAACATCATCATAGAGGAAGCGCTCAGCAAAGAAATTAATTTCTTGAGTACGATATAAAGCTGATCGCAACGACGAATATGAAGGAACCCAACGGGAATTGGATCTCGGCTCTCCGATTTTAAAATTCCGTGCTATTATCCATTACACCAAACTCACATCCAATCTAACAGCACCTGGTATTCCCAAGCAGTCACCCATTCAGGTACTGACAAGTTTCGACGTTGCTTAACTTCGATGATCGTTCGAGAACATGTGTTTCAATGTGATGAGACCGTAAACTTTCTTAATAAATAGTTGTATTTTTTTTTAATTTCAAATCCCCAAATCTCTTTGTTTTCATTCATATCTTAAAGTAATGATGACATTTTGTTTGATCGTGTTTGAAGTTCACACGTTATAGGAAATTTGTTTGATAATGTAAGTATTGATTCGGAAAATAAGTAGCAGATTTAGTCGAGATAACTTCAATACAAAAATATTGTGTCTGCTCAAAATCGATGGGAAAGAAAAGGATTAATGATCGTTAATGATCAGCGAAACAAATCAGGTATTAATTATCGAAATTAAAATTAAAATATTGTATTATATACAATAATTAAATCCAGTAATTATAATGAAAATAAAAATACGGAATGCGTATTAAAAAATAAATATAAACAATTCTGCTATTTATGAAAATTTAAAGAAATGTAATATATTATAAAAAAATATAAATGCAGTATTAATGATGTAAATTTAAATAGATATAAAATGACACCTGTTTTTATTTCTGAAAACCGATTTTCTAACTATTTACATTGTTCGGACTGTTTTCCTCATCTTTATTCCTATATTCACCTTCAGCATCTGTCTCTATTTTTGAAATGAGGTATTTTAATTATTTACACTATTTACATTGTTCGGACTGTTGTCCTCATCTTTATTGTCATATTCACCTTCAACATCTGTCTCTATTTCTGAGATGAGGTATTTGCCCTATTTACAGTGACAATAAAGACGACGACAAGAGTATAATAGTTTAAAAATAATTTAAATAGTGCAATTTAATTTGAAATCAACCTAGAAATTAAAAAAAAAAAATCTTCTATCAATTATTAAAAAACTAGAGAACAAAATTTAGTTACTTCTGCAGATGACAACCATTTTCTCCAATTTTATTGGAAAATCCGATAGGTCAAACCAAGTAAACCTGACAACTGTTCTTGAAAAGGACCTCTAATCAGAGTTTAAGTGGGTTAAGACTTGGCTTGGAAAGGTGAATAACACCTAAACAAAACTGTTTTCATTTAATAATCACAGAGAAGCTTTTCTGCCTACTCTCGGTATAGCTGATCGTAAAATCCAGAAGAGCCTCACGCTTCACCTTTTTCGGTGGGTCGACTACTACATGTACTGCAGGGAAGGGTGACTCACTCTGTCGGTCCAGACATTGTTTTCCCGTCAGAATTCATCTTGCACATTTATAAATCCACCATTTGACTGTCCATTGAATACTGTTACCATAGCTGGTCGCGTGTTCCTGCTGCACATCTTGTGATTCTTGACAAAATCCAAAGAATGGTCTGTAATTTAATCGATCCTGACCAGGCATCTCAAATTCAGTAACTATCTCACCGGCGTGAAGTGGCTCCCCTCGGCCTTTTCTACAACTATTTTCATGGCAACTTTTTTCTTTTTTGGTGTGTGCTCTACAAAGATTTAAGCGTACTACTAGATTGGCAACTAGGTCTAACCGTTTTACTAATGCACTAGCTATTTCCATTTCACCATTTCTACTTTAACAGTTACTTTTCTCGCACTCCCTACCTGTGGAACTCTCTCCCCATTTCTTGCTCATCTGATATCAACAGATTTCAAAGAATTGAATGCAACGTCAGTTGCCACCTGTCCTCTTGAACTATGTTCTTTTTTTTGTCTTTTCCTCTATCCTTTTCATTCTCAGTCTTCTCTTTCACTTTCACTTTCACTTTCACTCTCTGTAATCACCTGCGTTCTAGTAGCATTATTGCCTTGTTTGGGGTGAAACTATAAAAGAAAAACTTAATTTTAAAATTTAAAATTAAATCCTGTACGAATATTATACAGTTTGTTTTTTTTTTGTAAAAAATCAAGAACGTTATCAGTTCCTAAACTAATGCCTTGACAATTTCTCGTTCAAATTAACTGAAATTTTAACGGCATGTTTAGAAACCTATCTAAATTCTATATTTAATGTTTTATATTTTTCTTTACAAGTAGAGAAATGCCATTCACCTGAAATGAAAATGCATTTTGTGTATTAGAGTCTGCTTGAGCGCATTCGAACAAGACTGTGCAGTGTGCATTTGTGAAAATACAACGAAAAATGCAACACCTGAAATGCAGGTTTAGACATAGTTCAAAGATGAAGGCTGTGTTTACAGGAGCAAAATTATCTTGACGCCCACCATTATCGGGTGAGATGGACATGCATATTGAAAACTAATGAAATATAGACGAATAAATCCGATTCTGCTCAAAATAAACCTGTTTAGTTTCATTTAGGCTCTGTAGACGACAGAAATATGGTTTTAAAGAAGGATGATAAGGATATGATTGACTGAGCGTGTGGGCAACGATGAGATATTAAAGGAGGCTTATACTTAACATCAGGAAGAGGCAGCTGAAGTTTCTGGGACACATACTGAGGAAGGAGGGCCGGGGGAATCTGATACTCACTCCAGGGAAATCAATGGGTGACATAACTGGTGGACTTAAGCAAATGGATGACAGAGCGTGGTCTGAGGGAGGTAGCAGAGGGAAGGAACATGTTGAGAGCTGCAAGGGATAGAAAGAGATGGAGAGCCATGATCGCCTATGTCCTCAAAGGAAATAAATAGAAGGAAAAAGTTACTCATATATTTTCATTTCAAATGATGTATTTTTGAAACACTCTGTATTTATTTCAAAAGTAAAACTAAAATCTAGTAATAATTGAACAAAACATTAGCATAAAATCTGGTATCGATTACAAAAATTAATAAGAAAAACCAGTACTACTAACAATTAGAATAAAGCTCTGGTAATAATTATTGGTAGTAATTTATGAAAATAAAAATAAAACAAACGTTATTAATTATAGTTATACTAATCCGGTATTAATTGGGAACATCTATCAATTTAATGCCCATCGGCTCGCAGATTGAATGGTGGTGAAGAATGGGTTAAAACAAGAATGGCATTGCAATTAAAGAGAAATAATTTGATTCTCTTTGTAATCCGTTATACTAATATTATCGTATCAAAAAGAAATTAAATTGTTGGTGAGGAAGTTTTTGTTTTTTTTTAATTTTCCGCGCGTTTCCAGAATGGATTAAAACCGTTAACTTTATGTGTCAGCAAGGATTAATAAATTGTATAATTTGTTTAAAACGATGACAATGGCAATTACAACGAAACGCATCCAATCTAGCTTATTGCAACATCCAGGTAATAGTTTAAACTTCTGGAAAATGTTAAAATTTAGTGTTTCAGCCTTAGTAAAACAGTATGTTTTGAATAAAACTTGTCAGTTTATTTTTCTTAAAAAAGTGACCTTTTTAGATTAAGTCAAAAAATTCTCCCGAATTTCAACATATCTTTAGGTTTCTTACACTGCCTTCTGCCCAGACGTACTTAATAAATTGTATAATTTGTTTAAAACGATGCCAGTATTGATGACAATGGCAATTACAACGAAACGCATCCAATCTAGCTTATTGCAACATCCAGGTAATAGTTTAAACTTCTGGAAAATGTTAAAATTTAGTGTGTCAGCCTTAGTAAAACAGTATGTTTTGAATAAGGCTTGTCAGTTTATTTTTCTTAAAAAAAGCTTGTGACCTTTTACAATATATACGAGATTAAGTCAAAAATTCTCCCGAATTTCAACATATCTTTAGGTTTCTTACACTGCCTTCTGCCCAGACGTACTTAAAGTTTGTAGTATCTTGGTTACGGGATTGAATTTTCAACTTGATCACGGCAGTTTTCTTGCTGCTGTTAAAGTGTAAACTTGACCGCGCCGCTAGCAGTGTGTACCTAGGTTGGAACAAAGAGAAGTGATCCGCATCTGCAGAGAACATGTTACCACATCGATGATAACTCACCTGTTCGCAGGTACTGTCTTTCAACCTTGTCGTCGGTGTCAACCAAAAGGAACACATAAGGTCAGTCTGTTTAATTTTTTATCGATCTTCGGATAAGGTGTTGAATATTGTTGAAGTTGTGGATAAACTGTCAGAAGTTCATATTTTGTTGTTGTTTTTTTTTTGGTTCAAGTTTTTCGACTTCAGCAGTCATTATCAAGAACCGATGTTGTGGCCTTTTGGTAGTAGAATCCCTTTGTTATCATCCTGGTATTTTTTGGGAAGTTGGAATTCTGAAGTTGTCTAGCATGACGTCAAGTTTTTCGACTTCAGCAGTCATTATCAAGAACCGATGTTGTGGCCTTTTGGTAGTAGAATCCCTTTGTCATCATCCTGGTATTTTTTGGGAAGTTGGAATTCTGAAGTTGTCTAGCATGACGTCAAGTTTTTCGACTTCAGCAGTCATTATCAAGAACCGATGTTGTGGCCTTTTGGTAGTAGAATCCCTTTGTTATCATCCTGGTATTTTTTGGGAAGTTGGAATTCTGAAGTTGTCTAGCATGACGTCATTTGTAATGGCGATTGAGAACAAGGCAGCACAAACATATTTATTATATATTATTTTTTTATTTATTCACTTATTTTTAAATTTTTATTATAATTTCTATTTTTGTATTATTATAATAAAATAAATTAAATTTATCTTCACTTCAAAATACCGTCTCCTGTGGTGAAGTCTATCTTAATATGAGCACTGGTAAGAATCTGTTGCTGAAGACATTAGGTTTATAAGTCCCAGAAATTCATATACAGATGTCCGCAAGGATACATGGCACAGTGGATAATGTGTGGCGTATCGGATAAAGGCGATAGTTAGATCCAGTGACAGGACCCAAAGATTGTGAGTTCAGTACCTGGTTAAGTCGGTGGCGAAACTTGGAGGCGGGAATTAACATGAGATAACTGATATCCATTAGAAATGGCACGTGGAAATAGAACAGTCTACCCCATCAAGCGAAATAAAGTGTTCAGTTCGACATTCCAGCCATCTGAGGAAGGCCGGAAACGTTGGGATAAATATGGCAACAAAGATGAGGACAATAGTCCGAACAAGGTAAATAATGTACATAATGCACAATAACTCATCTCAGAAATATAAACAGAGATTTGAATTAATGTGCTCTGTTTA